CAATTAAGGTTGTGGTCTCTTGTCCATACCTATCAGGTAGATGAATGAGCAAACCAACACTTTCACCATATTTTCTACTACAACTTGGAGTTTCTCTAGTAAACACAGATAAGGGGTTGCTATTGTTATAGCATGAACAACAACCTTTTGTTCTCCTATGATCAGCCAAATTTGATACAATATCTATCTAAACTTGGCAGCACAGCAACATTGTTCAGATTTATTCACACATCAACAATTTCAAGACAGTTGAAAAATTTTCAAAAATAAATTCACAAATCAACAAATTCTAGACTAAAAAAAAAAAAAAAAAAAAGTTTTGAGAAATTTCGAAAAAAGAAAGTTCAAAATGAAAATTCAAAAATTGCCAAACATCAAACTTAAAGATATTCAGACTTTAGAGTTTTATTTAGGTAGACTTTGAATGGTACATTTCAATTGAAGGATGCCTCTAAATTCTTTTGTGATTAACCTGGGTTGGACCACCCGTCATCTCCTAGTTGGACCATATACAAAAAGATCCATGAAAATGTAGATTCAATGATGATTCTTAAACGAAAAATTAAAAAATTAAAAAAAAAAATGATTTACCTGAATCGTTGGAACAAAATCATCACTAAAAAGATCTGAGAAGCCGTTGATTTGGACCGATTTAAAACAATGATTTTCTCATTCGTTACAATCCAATCACTACGTCAACGATTTGAAACCATCTATTATCGATTTACCTTGATCGGCACACTAGACTAAAAGGTAAGTTTTATAGAACGGCTATTAGACCAGTTATGTTGTATGGGACGGAGTGTTGGGCAACCAAGAAACAACATGTAGATAAGATGAGTGTGACTGAGATGAGAATGTTAAGGTAGATGTGTGGTAAGACTAGACAAGACAGGATTAGGAATGAGTGTATTCGGGAATGGGTAGGAGTAGCACCGATAGAAGATAAGTTGAGAGAGAATTGTTTGAGATGGTTTGGTCATATTCAACGGAGACCAACAGAGGCAGTAGTGAAGAGATGCGATACTGTAACGGTAGATGGAAGTGTATGGAAGTGTTAGGGGACGGGGTAAGCCTAGATTAATGTTGACTAGCGTTATAAATAGAGATATGAATCTACTTAATTTGACTAATGAAATGGCCTTTGATAGGGCCGCGTGGAGAAAAAGGATTCATGTAGCCGACCCCACTTGATGGGACTTAAGGCTTGGTTTGATTTGGTTTGGTTTGGTTTGGCACTGCCAAAATGTGTATGTGTGTGTGTGTGTGAGAGAGAGAGAATTCTATCATAAGCACCTTATGCATTTTTAGTTATGAAAATGTTTGAGAGGTCTAAATAACAGCTCTAAAGATGGGATTCATCTATTTTTGAATTTTTTTTTTTCTTTTTTACCACATCATTAAAATTTAATTAGAGCTCTAAAATTTTAGAATTATGTATCCTTGTTCTTCTAGTTATGGCTTCATTTGACATTAGTTTTTTTGGATTAAATTAGTCACCAAAAAAAATAAAATAATAATAATAATAAAATAAATTAAAAAATTAATAAGATAAAATGTCACATCTAAATCATAATTATTTTATTTTTTCTTAAAAAAATTAAAAAAAAAGTCAATCCAAAAGAACTTTTTAGCTAGAGTTAAAATAGTTAAAAAGCAAACTAAAAAAGTCACATGCTAAATGGCAGTAATATTATTTTCTTTTTTAGTTATGATTAATTTCCATTTTTAGTTATGATATTATTTTGAGATATTTGGTTATCCATCATGTAGTGTTTAGTTATCTTCTTCTTCTTCTTCTTCCTTTTTTTTTTTAATTTATTTTTTAATTATGATTCAGAAAATATAAAATTATGTCATTTTTTCTTTTGTTATAAAGTGTGCATGCTCAATGGTTATATCATTGTAATCCTATAAATTGGTTCAAACAAGGGGTTATTTATATAAGGACTCCCTAAATTATTGAGCATTTTGGTCTCCTAAACTATAAAAGTATACAAATAGATCCTTTAAACTATGGAGAAGTATTATTTTGTCTCCTAAACTATAAAAGTGTGTAAATTGACTACCTAAACTATAAAAACGTATAAATTGGACTCTCTAATGAAAGGGGTCAAAGTGAAACTGGCCAATAGTTTAGGGAATCTATATGTACATGTTTATAGTTTGGAGGATAAAGTGATACATCTCAATAATTTAAGGTTGAACTTTTATAGTTTAGGGTGTTAAAATAATACTTCTCAATAATTTAGGAGTCTCTATGTAAATAAATTGCCATTTCCATTTGAATATTGTTTGCATGAGTTAAGAGATCAATTAAAATGGTGAGAGGAATATAGCTTGAAAAAAAAAAAGAAAAAAGTGGCGACTCCTGGATAAAATGATACTTCTCAATAGTTTAAGGTCGTATGCTTTTATAGTTTAGGGTGTTAAAATAATATTTCTCAATAGTTTAGGGGTCTCTATGTAAATAAATTGTCATTTCCATTTGAATATTGTTTGCATGAGTTAAGAGATCAACTAAAATGGTGAGAGGAATATAGCTTGAAAAAATTACAAAAAAAAAAAAAAGAAAAAGTGGCGACTCCCGACATTTGTTCTCCTCATATACCATATTCAATCAATTTAGGAGACAACGAAGCATTGCATAATGACTATGTAGACTTGGAAAGACCATTAGGTAAGAAGGCTAAAAATGATCATCTTAATAAAAGAAAGAGCATTGTGGACATGACGGTAGAGTTCTAATATTATTAGAAGAGTTAAAGGAAGATAAAAAGAAAATGAATGACAAGAAAATAGAAATGTATGAAAGGTTCAATCTTCAAGAGCAAAAAAAAATTGATAATGAAAAAGAAAAGATACGAATGAAACAATTGGAGGAGAAAGAGTGAATAATGTCATTGGATACGAGTGCGATGCCTCCATTACGAGCAAAATATATTCATTGTCACAAAATGAAAATTCTCTCTCTCTCTCTCGAAAAAAAAAAAAAGATTTAGTTGTTGAAACTATGTATTTGACTTATTTTATTGTTTTCTTATTCTCCAAGCATAATTATATTTTTTTATTTAGGTTACGTTAGAACTCGTTACTTTATCCTAAAACTCCATTGGAGTTAATTTTTAAACATTTAAACTAGTAGTAATTTAATGACTGGGTTGAATTTTTGTTGAACAGGGGCGACGCGACCATCAAGCGGATGGGGTCCTAAGCTCTCATCAAGTAAAGCCAAAACTTTTTTAAAAAAATTTATTTATATTATACATATTTTATTTTATATAATTTGAATCTTCTAATAAATTAAAGAACCTCATCAAATACGAAAAAAAAGTTCAATATGGTTACGGTATCACCATCCAATAAAATCTTGTCATATGTGGTAAAGTCATTATATTCCAAAGAGTAGTGTTCATTCGCAACATATAAGTTTATTGTTGGTCGGCAATATCATGCGTTAATGGTATTGCCGTGATATTGAATTTCTACTCATCAAAACGGTGCACACTCATTAGAGATCTACTATTTAAAAATTTTAAATTATTTTGTTTGGTAAATAATTTTTGAGTTTTTTATTTTTCGTATTTCTTGTCTTTGGTGAATGTTTTAAATATTTTAAGTAAATTTTTTTACTTTTTAAATTCATTTAATCTAGATACACTTAAAAATTTTAAAAAAAATTGTGATTTTTTAAATAAAAAAAATTACTAAATACAAAAAATATATAAATTTAGTATGTTTTTTAGAAATATTTTTTATTTTTCAAGTGCATCTAAAAAAACAAATAAAATATATTAAAAAAACAAAATTTACTAAAGACAACAAAACTCAAAAACAAAAAAACTCATAACTAAACAGAACAAATTGATTTTAGTTTAAAATTTGTAAAACTTAAGCTTATTAGATGACCCCATCTATAAAAATTTCTAGGATCGCCACTTTTGTTAAATGCTTGCTGAAGTGCTCCATGAATGTAAATACTTCTTAAATGCTTCCTGTATGCTAGACTCTGCTTAAGCCTCTTTTGGTAACTAGGAAAAAAGCTAATTTAGGCACTGTTTGGGAAGATAGGTTTGGGCTAAATTAGCCACTACCGTCCAAAAAAGGCTAAATTAGCCACTACCAGACAAAATTGATTCACGTGCTTACACACAACCCAGGCTAGGGTGAATTTACCAAACTACCCCCTCCTACTTTGATTCACACCAGCATCGCCTCGCCACACATACAACACTGAAATTTTCTAGGGCACACAGACACGCTAAAGCAAAGGAGGCGATTCGTCGACGTCGAACAGTGAAGACATCTCGTGAAGCTTGCCAAAGCCGATCGCCACCGAAGTACACATCATCGGCGTCGAAGCAGACTTGCGAAGCTTGCCAAAGCCGAACGCCACCGGAGTGCACATGTAATAACCCGACCCTCGTACATGTTTTCTGGTATGCTTTCAGCCCCTTATTATGTGCATTTATATGTTTACTGTGAAATTCCATGTGAAATTAAGTTTAATTGAGTAAATCTTATGGCTATGGATTTATATCTGTCAATTATGAAAAATATCTGTTACAATCACGATGTTCGGATCAAAAATTGGAAGCCTTAGAAACTTGATAATCTGGAATTGGCTGGATAATTGAGATCAGCATAAGTTTTAGATCATGATACGAATTTTTGTAAAAAAATCTGATTCGGAATGATTAAACTGATTAATTTTTGTCTTATTCAACTCTTATATATTTTCTCTAACTTGGTAAGTCTTTCAAAAATATCTCTTGAGAGAGAGTGTAGAGAAGTTGAGAGAAGAACTAAGAGGGAAGAAGGTCAACAAGGAAGAAGGTTGGGAAATTGAGAAGGATTGTAGAGATTAAGGCTTAAGGTATGTATAAGCCACCTTAAATAACCTCTTTCTAGGACTTGAGATCAGCATAAGTTTTAGATCATGATACGAATTTTTGTAAAAAAATCTGATTCGGAATGATTAAACTGATTAATTTTTGTCTTGTTTAACTCTTATATATTTTCTCTAACTTGGTAAGTCTTTCAAAAATATCTCCTGAGAGAGAGTGTAGAGAAGTTGAGAGAAGAACTAAGAGGGAAGAAGGTCAACAAGGAAGAAGGTTGGGAAATTGAGATGGATTGTAGAGATTAAGGCTCAAGGTATGTATAAGCCACCTTAAATAACCTCTTTCTAGGACTTGAGTAAGAATCTCCTTTCATTTGTGAGAACTAGGGTTTGTAATTGGGATTAAGTGTGTGATAATTGCTTAATTGGAAAAGTATTCTTATCATTTAGTTGTTTTGGAGTTAATTTGAGTTATAGGGAGGAATTACATCTCATTCCTTCGCTTTTCATGTTGAACTCACATGGTTAAACATATTTATTATTCATATCTCAAATGGAGGAGCTAGATTATGGTCTCATTAAACTTATGATTTATGTTTATGATGGTGCTATGACTTGTAATCCATGATTATGATGATGTTATACCATTATATTGTGTTGGTTTTCCCATTTCTTCCCTTTAAGATGTGTTGAATTTGATGAATTTGTGCCCTAATTCGGACTGCTTAAAACAGAGGCAGCGACCGCACCTGCAGGGAAGCATTGCCGCACGTGCAGAAAATAGGGGATCTCGAACTGAAGCTACTGGAATAAATGCACGTGCGGGGCGCACGTGCGGCCCACCTTCCCGAACGTGCAGCGAAGGGCCACCGCACATGCGGCCCATGTGGAAAAATTCTGTATGCTCCGTTTCCCTTGTTTGACCCTCTGGGATTGCTAAAATCTGTATTTGACGCTTTTAAAATGCTTATAAATTTATTAGAGACTGAACGAATCAGATATTGATTAAAAAGGAAAAGGGATTAATTTGTGAGTGCATGTATGTAGGTTATACACCGAAAGGGACTGTTGCTCCACCACTTCACTGTGAGTAATAGTACTGTAGTGGTATATTTCAATTACTGTTAATAGTTATTATTAACGTTTTGCTATTTGTGAGTTAACTATGTCAACTTGTAACAAACAATCAGAAAATTTTGTGCAATATGAATTATGATATCCTTGTGAACTTGAGATCATTCTGTTCTACCAAAGATGGACCCGAGGTCGTTCAGTTATGAATTACTGAGTGTGGACAGACTTTAAGAGGAGAAAGGTGAGGACATACCAATGTCTCACCGACCGTAATGTGATTGAACAAAATTTGATTCATGGCCTATGGCCAAGGGAGGTGGTACATGTTGATGTTCCATTTTTCCCGTACTGTTCTGGACAGTTGTTAATATGTTGGGCCCGAGGCCATTCTGTATGATATGTTGGGCCTAAGGCCGTTATGGAAATGTATACAGAGTAAGATTATACATGTGGTCTATGCACCTATATATGTTATAATTTAAGTTTATTCATTTGATTTCTCTACGTACTGTTATTCACTGAGCCTTGCTCACTCCGTGTTATGTCTGTCTCTGTAGGTAATCAACCCGGAGGTCGGTCTTAGTCCAGCTTTAGCTGCTTTTCTTTTGTCAACTTCACTGTGTCCAAGCATTTTAATGAAGCTTATGCATTTTTGTGGAAGTCATTTCATAACCCATAGCTTTGGCCACTAGTCTTTTGTCAAATGCTAAATTATCTATAACCTGCTTTTTCGATGTTTTGGTTTTACCCCGGTTTCGGGGATGGGACTATATATATATCTGTTTGTATATAACCGCCTCTTATGTGCATATTTATCATGTGTTGGACTGTCTGACGAAATGTTTGTGATCCTGGTATATAAGTAATAGCTCAATGGATGTTGTTTTATGTTGTTTTATGTTATTTTATGTTGTTAATTGCTTCCGTTCTCGCCCCATAGTAAATAATTATTGAGTTTTGAGACCGTTTTCGAATGGGTCATGTCCAAACTTTTAGGGGCGAGTTTGGGGCTTGACAGCACATCTGTGGCGTCGAAGAAGAACTCACCGTCTGAAACACCACTGATCGTGAGGTACTGATTGTTTTTATGTTTTGTTTTTGTTTTTTTTTTGTGTGTAAATTCGTCTTCTTCAACCTGATCTGGTGGGTTCATTTGTGAAAGCCATTGTTGTGGGTGCTTAAAAATTTTCCTCTAATTTTTTTGTATGTTTATTTTTTGTTTGGCATGTGGGAAACCCACTGCTCTGTCATGGAAATTAGGCCAAAAACTGACCTGTTTTTTTGGTTTTAAACTACAAATTATGATAATCTTTATAACTGATTCTCCTTTATTTATTTATTTATTTATTTTTTGGTGTGAAGCTGAAGTTCTTATTTAAATTTAAATTTTTATTTGGGATTTAAAAATTAACCCTTTGAACATAAAGGAACAACACTGAATTAACATGAATTAATTTTTGGGCCAAAATTAATTTTGTTTGGATTGTAAGGAACAACATGAATTAATTTTTTTTTTTCACCATTGAATTTTTTTTTTGTTAAATTGAGGTTCTGATAACCCTTTCACAAATTCTAATAATCTTTGTGCAACTGAGGTTCATATTTATTATTATTTTTTTTGGGTGAAATCTCGAATTCCTATTTCTATCTTGCCAAATTGATGACACGATGAACACACAAAAGCAGATGAATCCTTTCACAAAGGTAGATTAAAATTTAAATTTTTATTTGGGATTTAAAAATTAACCCTTTGAACATGAAGGAACAACACTAAATTAACATGAATTAATTTTTGGGCCAAAATTAATTTTGTTTGGATTGTAAGGAACAACATGAATTAATTTTATTTTTGCCAACATGAATTAATTTCTTTTTTTGGACTTGTGAATTTTTTGTAAATGAGGTTATGTAAATTCTGTTTTTTTTTTCACCATCTCGCGATTTTTTTTTTTTGTGTGTCCTAAATTAAGGTTCTGATAATCTTTTCACAAATTCTGATAATCTTTGTGCAGCTGAGGGTCATTTTTTTTTTGTTTGTTTTTGTTTTTTTTGTGAAATCTGGAATTCCTGTTTCTATCTTGCCAAATTGATGAAACGATGCCAACAAAAAAAAAAAAAAAATTATTTGGGAACATGAATTCCTCTTTCTATCTTTGTGCAACCCTTTGACAAAGTCAGATTTAAATTTTTAATTTTATTTGGGATTTAAAAATTAACCCTTTGAACATGAAGGAACAATACTGAATTAACATGAATTAATTCTTTGGCCAAAATTAATTTTTTTTGGATTGTAAGGAACATCATGAATTATTTTTGTTTATTTATTTATTTTTTCTGACTCTGCTCCATGGAAATGTTGGGTTAACTTTTTGATTGTGAAATTTGTATTTTATCTCTTCACTAAAACTCTCATGGTTTTGATAAGGGTTTTAAATTATGTTCAATTTCTATTTTGTGAAATACAAATTTTAGAAGCTCTCACTTAAAAGGACAAAGTAAATTCATGTTGACGGTTTTTGTAAATCGCAATCGTAACGCAAGAGAAACGTGTAGACGCCCCATTTTTTACGGTCCTTACGACTCGGACACCATTGCATGCATACCCGATGATGAGTTTATATGCTTGCCAAGTGCTCAAAGTCCTCAGCGGAATGCCATAGCTTTGAGCTTTTCAAGCCCTACACCCCTGTTACTTCATTCTTGGACCAACTTTTGGTCTTTCAAGCCTGCAGCTTACGGTGGCCCGCCGGCCACCTTTTGAGGCTGCCGGCCATCACTTCTGGGCTGCCGGCCACTGATGTGGCTTGTTGGCCACCAGTGATGGTCGGCCGACCACCAATGTCTTTTGCAGATATTTTATGCCAACTGTGCCAGCTATTTGCACAGCTGCACCCATCTACACCCATGTGTAGGGCTGGATATGCTTGAGAGAATTTCATGTTTTCTATATATAGGAGGCCCCTCTCTCATGTTTGAAGGTTAGAAAATTTTGAGATCAAAAATTTTTCTCTTTCTACCAAATTTCTACACTTTTGCCTACAAATCTTCAACCATTGCCTATACACCGTTAACCAAATCTTCTCATCTTTGAGCTGAGGTATTCTTGAGCTTGGTTTGAGCTCTTGAGAGTGTTATTTGCTTGGTTTTGTTGCTTGAATTGCTTCTTCTCTTCAAGAGATATAAGGCTTTACCTATTTGCTTGCTTTCTCTACTATTTTCCTACTGTTTTCCCATTGTTTTGGGCTATCACTACAACAAAAACATACTTTAGTAGCACTACACTAGTGGCATATTGTTAGAAAATGCCACAAAAAATGATATTTAGTGGCACGTTTTTGAAAAATGCCACAAAACGACAAACATAAAAGGCTCTAGTGACATTTCAATGAACAAGTGTCACAACACTACAACAAAAACATATTTTAGTGACACCATACTAGTGGCATGTTCTTAAAAAATGTCACAAAAAGAATATTTGGTGGCATTTTTTAGAAAAATGTCATAGAGCCACAAACATACAAGGCTCTAGTGGCATTTCAATTAAAAAAAGTGTCACTTCACCACAACAAAAATGCCATTACAACAAATTTATACTTTAGTGACACTACACTAGTGGCTTGTTTTTAGAAAATGCCACAAAAATAAAAATTGGCATTAAATGTTTTAGAAAAATGCCACAGAACCACAAAACATATAAGCCTCTAGTGGCATTTCAATAAAGAATGTCACATCAATTTTATGACATTTTATAAAATAATGACACAAAAAATTATGTTCGTGACATTTACCAACAGATGCCACTAAACTTTAGTTGAATGGCATTTTTTAAAAAATGTCAGGACATTAGGTAGGTGCAAATTACTTTTTATGGCACTTAGGTGAAAAGTGTCATAAACAAATTTTTATAGCATTTTGAGAAATGCCACTAAGCCAAAACTTTCCAAGCTTATAATGACATTTTGAAAAAAAAAAATGTCAATATATTTTCTAAATTTTTAAAATCAAGTAAAATGATTAAAAATAAATAAATTAACTCAATATACACTACAGGAAAAAGCATATTCAGCTACTAAATTTCCTGACCAAAAAAATTTGGTCGCTGAAAGTATAGTTTTCAGCGACCAAAACAGCATTAGTTGCCAAAAGTAAAGCTTTTTGGTGACTAAACAATTTTTGTAGCCAAAAGTCTACAATTGGCAACTAAAAAATAATTTTAGTCGCCAAAAGTGGTTCTTTTTTTATTTTGCTAGTAAATAGTTTATTTTACATAAATTATGTTCAATAAAATAATTATGTTTATACATATACTTTTATATTAATATGGATGTATGTACTATATAAATAATATATGTTGCATATATAATCATGTGGTGCTATAGAGGTGTAGTGGGAAGAGTGTGGTATATAAGGTTTATGGTGCGGGAGGTTGGCGATTCGAGTCTCCGTAAGAGCGGATCAAATTGTTCTACAACGAATTATTGTCACGAATGGCACTTGATAGCATCACGAATAGTGTCTACCATGACATTAAAGTGTCACTGTAAGGTTTTAGTCTTGATGGTGTAATGACACTTACAAGTGTCACTAACTCTTTTTTTAATGGCGCTTGATAGTGCCACAAATAATATCTACCATGACATTAAAATGTCATTGAAAGTTTTCAGCTATGATGGTGCAGTGGCACTTGCAAGTATCTACCGTGGCACTCGTATCTACCGTGGCACCGATAGAAGTGGCAAATGTTCAAAATGTCACAAGACCAAAAAATGTCATTAGAAGAATAGTTTTGTAGCACTTTCAAATGTCACTAAACTAAGAAAATGTTGTAGTGTGTCAAAACTCTGTGTTTTTTGGGCTGAAGCTTAGGTTTAAGGCCATTAAAGGTTGAGGGGTTGATAGCCCTTCTTTATACCTTGTTTTGGAGGCCTTTGCCCTTGTGTTTCTCACCCTTTTACTATCTTTTTCCAAGCTTTTAAACACTGATTTTCAGAGCTTTTTCAGTGGCCAAAATTATGTTTTGAAGCCCAAATTTGGAGGGGTTAGCCTCCCCTCCTTGTGTCTTGCTTACTAGCCTAGTTTGTGCCATGTTTAAGGATGTTAATCTAGTTATTTTTGGCTCAAGTCCAGCATATTTTAGGACTTATTTTAGACTATTTTAGCCATGTTTTGGGCTGTTAGTTGCATTTGAGCTTTGTTTTACATGCTTATAGTGTAATAGTCCTCATGAGCTTGGTGTTCTAGGCCTTAGAAACCATTTTGGTTGAGTTGATAGCATTTATTCATGCTTTTCTCACTCATTTTCAGCACTTAATCATCTCTGCAACCTCCCTCCTCTCTTGGCTTTTTATTTTACTTTGAAAGTGGTTTAAACTATTTGTTTGTTTGAAGCATGAGATTGAGGTGTCATGCTTAATGGTTTAATCCCTTAGGGGGTTCATTACCAACAGTATGATGCCTCTTTCATGCCTACAACAACTTTTGGTCTGAGTCCTTTTTCCATTAGAGGACTTAAACTCACGCCTTGGACTTAATTGAATTAAAGGATGGAAATGTAACTAAAATGGAGTAACTAAAACTAGGAATTAAAAGTGAGCAAGATAATAATTTGGTTGTGTTCAATCGGACGTTAATTGAACATATGGAAACTTGAACCATTTCATACTCATTAGTGATGAAATGATTCAAGGTTCTAACGTCACCACTTCTCTTGATCATTCATGAAATGGAGGAGGTTTGTGTCTTGTTTTGCATTTATTGAGCTAGCACACTGGGTTTCACAAGCCATCATGCAATGAAATTGCATCCATTGATGCTTGGTGAACCGAACTTGCTACTCCTTTGATTTGCTCAGAAAATGAGGGTGAGTTGTGCAAACAAACCCTTGAAATACCC